TCCTCCTCCCCCCCCCCTTGCGCTCAGGCCCCGTCTTTTGCCAGCACCAAACATGCAGCTATCCAATTATAAATTTGTATGAGATTGTACTGGGAAGTGAGTCATCATAAGCAGTTCGTCACTGCAGCGGAAAAGTTCGAGTTTTTGAACCTACAACGTGTTCCAAACATGTAACATCCATATCAATGTCGCGGCTGTTCTCAGCAAATCGCTTGTTCCTATTGTGATGCATCTCAAAAATACGTAAACCATGTCTATTCAGATGACGTGAAATGCTATTATTAATTCTGTTGTTCTCTACGCTGTCCGTACAGCAAGATGAACTTCCTGCAGAGGAAAATCCTGCATATCCTCCCCACGGCTGCGAAAATTATGGTCTGTGTCTGGCACCGGAAACCCTGACAGATGAGGAAACACTGTCATCCTATTATTCCTGTCCATTGGGTGGATGTGTGTGTAATCCAGGAACCACAGGAGAAACTTGCGAGACGGGTGAGTGACGAAGAGTTGCTCGAAAATTCAAGTTTTTTCCTACAGAAGAAGGAGAATAAGAGCAAATTTCGCGATAATTCGAAACTGAACTGCTTATGGTTTAGTGATTCCCAAATGTACACCTAATCCATGCCCGACAACGAATGGATCTAAATACAATTGCGTGGAGGGTATACAGAATTACACCTGTGTGTGTCAGCCAGGCTACACAGGACAAGACTGTAAAACAGGTAAATGACATTCCTTCCAGTAACTTATACTGTACGTATATACTCTAATGACTGGTTTATATTGAGTAAACTCAAGACTCGGTGATCTTGCACATTGCTGGACGCTATCATGCGACTCTATAACATGTGGCAATATTTGGATGAAACTGTCTGAAGTTTCGTTTTTTCTGTATATATAAGCTACATTGAAAAATATTCAAAAAGAATTTTCTCGGGACTTTCACCTGAAGTGACTAAGTGCTCGAAACCCCGCAAGCAGCAGTTTTCCAAACATTCGCAAGCAGCAATTCTCCAAATTTTTTCACATATGCTGTATCTTCATTGTTGAAGTTTTCATATGAGCTAAAAACTTTTTCAGAATATCTCTTCTAGACTTTTTTATAGCACATAAAAATTGTCAATGGCGGTGCAATCTGCTCTGGTCTTCAAGTTCGCATACTAACATTGAGCAAAACCGACGCGCGAATTTTTCATTTTCACAGGGCGCTCGATGTTCTCAAGATTGCTGTTTTTCTTTCTCTTTTTATGCTACTCATTGTCTGTTCTAATCATTCGCAGAGGACTGGCAGGAGGGCGAAGTGGAGGTTTAGAGCCAAGGCATACCTCACGCATTTTAGTCGCCACATGATCTTTCAATCTGGCAGATGTCTTTAAATTCGGTACTGGTAGACCCTTAAAGGCAGCGTACACCCAAAATTTCGCCTTCGATG